GCGGTGGCTCCTCGCCTCTGGAACAACCTTCCTCCTGATATTCGCGCGGCTCCCTCGCTGGGTATTTTCAAAAAACAACTAAAAACATTGCTGTTCCAGCAGGCCTTCCCCCCCCAGCCAATTTCTGATTCCTCTCTTTTTTCCCTCCTTGCGTTCGATCTAACTGTTGAATATGTTTTTATATAAGTTGTATTAGCTATTGTTTTATCCTTGTTGTAAGCCGCCTAGAGTGGTCCGTTGATCAGATAGGCGGGATATAAATGAAATAAATAAATAAATAAATAAATTTTACTTTCTTGGGCTCCATGATCACTGCAGATGGTGACAGCAGCCATGAAATTCAAAGATACCTACTTCTTGGAAGGAAAGCAATGATAAACCAAGACAGCACCTTAAAAAGCCACCCTTCCCCCCCGCCTTAATGCAAGGTTTCTCTTTTTCTTGCCTATTCTTTTTCATAGTTTTGAGTCAGTCTCTCTCACTCTCTCACTCTCTCTCTCTCCCTCCCTCACACACATCCATCCATCCATCCACCACCCTCCCTCCATTTCCTCCCTCCATTTTCTACATACATTTAAATAAGCTTGATGAAGTCCTCAGTCTCTGCACCTTTCTTCCCTCCTTCCCTTGTTTGCTCCTTGATCCTTTCCCTCCTGCCGCTTCTTTGCAGTCATTTCCGGAGGAAGCAGTCATTCAGAAGCCCCAGATTGATTGATTGATTGCCTGGTGCTAATCCACAACTGCAACCAATCAAGGAGGCTTATCTCCGATCTCTGTGCACTGCTTCAACCAAGGAAGTAACAGGGAGAGATGGCTTACAATTTGAGGTTTGGCTGCAGGGGGTGGGGCTGGGAGGGAGGGGTAGCACTTTGCTCATTATCCCCAGGATTTTTACTTTTACCCCATTTGGGGTAATTTATCCCTGTTCCCCGACCTATGAGCTAGGCCTAGCTAGGCTTCAAGGCCTTTCACTTTTAGGCCTTTCTTTCAAGTGAGCCACATTAGGTGTTCTTCCATCAGGTAGAGGTTCCAGAATGAAGAATTACAGGATTTGTAGTAAATCAATCAATCAATCAATCTGAAAATCCCATCTCAAAGTTATTATTGATCATTAGACTCTTTGAGCATCTTCATTTGGAGAGGGAAATCAAGGTGTAAATTGCTTTATGCTGAGATCTTGTGACAGAGAAGAAAAACATTATATATAAATAATAAATAAATTCTTATTTATTTATTATTTAAATAAAATAAATATAGGAACATGCATGATAATGTATATTTTATCGCAAAATATTTTGTGATGAAGTATACATAAAATGGAATGGACCTCAACAGATGGGTAACCTTGACATCTGAGCGTTCAGCCTGGAGGTAGGCGGTGCATCACAGCCTCTCCCAATTTGAAGAGACCCTTGTCCAGCAGACTGAGGCAAAGAGGCAGTCCCGAAACCAGCAAAGTCAGGGAGCTGGACGGGGACAGATTGTATTTGTCTTCAGTGTGGAAGGGATTGTCACTCTCGAACTGGCCTTCTCAGCCATACTAGACAGTGTTCCAAGTCCTCTATTCAGAGCATGTTACCATAGTCTCTCAAGACTGAAAGATGCCTAATTATCTAAATACATAAAATGTCTTATTTACCATAGAAATGCATATTATATTTCTGTATATTTCTATAGATTTTCTATGGGTTCTTCTTCCCATTAATGCTGCACATTAATGCTGAAATACAACAGAAGACACTTAGCTGTGAATCATGTAAAACCACTACATACCAAAATCAGATCTAGCTATCTATGCCCCCCTTCCCAACCTTTCCTTTTCTGTAGTAAACACAACACTACAAATAAAATGCCTGAGAAGTAGGCAGTGTTAATTTCTTCCTTACCTCCATCTTTTCCCATATAATTTCATAATTATCCTGATCTTGTATATCTTGCATCAGCTGCTGAATTAACATTGATTTATTTGTGGTAGATATTTCATTTTTTTCACAGGAATGAATTGCTGATGGTTTAATCAGTCTGTCTTCTAAGTACTTTTTCATACTAGGCGATGATGTACAGAGCTCTTCATCTGAAAGAATGTCACTAAGAGGTCCAGATTCAATGCTGTCACCGGTTGAGGATATGATATCACTAGAAGAGCTTGGTGAAACTCGACCTAACCTTCGGTGCTTCTTTTTCATCTGATATGTTGGGTAAATCTCAGAATCCGAGTTCATTTCTGAAAGTTCCCAGTCATCAATATTTTGAATGGTCTCTTCTTGAGGTTTCTGAGGAATTAGCTTTGTCAGATTTTCAAGTTTCAGAGCTAATACTTCAGTTTGTTTGAGATGAGATGGAAGTGCTAAGTATTCATCAGACCCATACCAAGGCTCAACAACTTTACTATCTGTATTGACTGATTGTGGTGAAGGTGAATGGGTCTTTCCTTCTTTGTTTCTTGGAAGAACTGGGGATGATGACAGAGCAGATTCTGAATCAGCTGAAAAGCCACTTTCTTGGCTATGAATGGGTGAAGCAGAATGATCTCTTTCAATGCCACAGTGGCCATTCAGTTTTGGCACTTTGCAAGGATCAGAAGATGTGGAGGTTGAATCGCTTTCTGTCCCTTCGATGGACTGCGAGCTACAAAAAGGAATTCCATTTTGCAAACCAGGGAATCTTTTTTTATTCGTCTGATTTGTTGACACAACACCTGATGCGATTCCAGATATTCTGCATGATGCCACTTCTTCAGGAATGTCATGTGACTTCTTGCACCTGAGTTTTTCCCTTCTAATGTTGTCACTGGATTTACCTTGCCCCATGGAACTTTCCTTAAAGTGATTTTGTATTGTGTACTTGAGATTCTGATCATCTAGGCTGTGTAAACAATCGCAAGACTGACTGATAGTAGAAGGACAGTTGTTGTATGCTGTTTGTAAAGCCAAACTAAGTTTCGATCTGTCTGGTGGATCTAAGAGTGAAGGTATGCTCCTACTCATATCTGTTTTAAACATTAGTGAGATCTGATTTTTTATATCATTGACCACCATGTCCGTTTTAAATATATCATCTTTGAGAAACAAACCCCTCTTGGGCAAAGTGGGTTGTGTGGGAGAATCCTCGTTGTAGTTAAAGCAGTCTCTTATTGTTCTCTTGGGAGTTGAGTTTTCACTGTGAGGGTGCTGCTTTCCTTTTGTGCTGTTGAAGGGCAGGGAACTAGGCTCTTGTTTAACTACCTCTGAGGAAGTCTTGCCATCAGCTGATATAACGGAATCTTCAGTGCAAGACACTTCACAAGGAGGCAAGTTCTCAGAAACACAAAGCCGTGTCCCTTGGGTAGAATCAAATGATGATGTTTTGTGGTTCTGGACTTCATCTTGGAGGTTTGCTGACAGTGGTAAATGGATTTCTTTTACATTAATACTTTCATTGCATTTGGAAGTGACTGAATCTGTTGCTACTGCCAGCAAGCCCACGCTTCTGATAAGCTCAGGAAAGTCTTTTTCCATTTCACTGCAGCTCCAGGACTCAAACGGTTTCACTTTAGCTTGACTTGATGTCATGTCGCTGAGGGCACCAAGCAAGTCCTCACTAGGGCTATAGTCTGACAGTTCAAATGCGGTAATCCCACAATCCAGTGACAAGTAATTCTGAGAACATTTGATTGTTAGCTGTCCTGAATCATCCACTTCCGTTAAGGAATCAAGACGATCCTGTAACAACACAAAAATAGGAAAGGTTTTTATTACCATTATGAGGATATCATTGTTAAGACTTCAAGATGGAGTCCTTGTATTTTAATTTTTTGATACCAAATATGAACCTACTACAGAACTGAGGACAGTTTTCTTTGATATTCTTCATGGGGAAAAACACAACCTATTATAAATACCAACACATTTCTCCAGCGCTGGCCGCATTGCATTGGCTGTCCATCCGTTTCCGCATCGACTTCAAAGTTTTAATGCTTACTTATAAGGCCCTAAACGGTTTAGGACCTCGATACTTGGCGGAACGCCTGCTTCCACCTAGGTCTCCCCGGTTCACCCGCGCGAGTCTGGAGGTGAGGCTGAGGAGCCTGACGCCGAGAGAGGCCCGGAAGGAGACCTACTACAGAACTGAGGACAGTTTTCTTCGATATTCTTCATGGGGGAAAACACAACCTATTAGAAAACAATATTGCCACATGGCAATGAGAGGGGGAGACAAAGCAGACACATAGATACAAACAGAATGCAAGGATGGACCAGGCCTTCATAGCAGCCATTTTGTGATGGTGCCTAAAATATTTAAAAAACAAAAACAAAATTCCAAAGTGTTAATGGCCAGAAAAGATTGCAAAGTCCTCAACCTTTACTTTCTGAAGAAAATGAAAAACTGTTTCTAATGCACTTGTGTATAGTATTAAGTTTATTCCTTTAGTAATTTCTTCCCCCTTCCCCCAAGTCAGTTTGAAATCCCTTCTTATTTTTAATTTCCAGAGCATGGTTAGAATCCAACTCTCCTTGCACACAGATGAAATACAATTTAGATTAAAAGTCTCCACTGGCTCTAGTGGAGGTATTTTATCTGTGTTCTGTCCACACATGGAGGATGTTTTAGTCAGCAGCAAAAAAAGTGGACGTTCCCATTTCTGCATACTGCAATCCAACCCCTCCCCACCTATTTGGAATTAAGGTAAAACAGGACATATAATTGGATGCTACATAATGGTGAACACCCATATTTGGTCCTCATGGTTTACTTTACGTATTGGTATAATAATAATTATGTGCTGTCGCCAGATCAGACTTATGGTGACCATTTTCAAGGTTTTCAATCCTGCGACTGTGCAGCTTGCCCAAGGCCACATAGGCTTGCTTTTCTGGGATGACCTAGGGCTTCGGCCATTGAAGGTAAGTCAGAGATTTAAGGAATGGTTTTACCAGTTCAACACCTGTGAGTTTCCGTGGCTGAGTGGGAATTCAGATCCAGGCCTCTTAATTCTTAGCCCAGTTATCCACCACACCACAAAGGATACCTACAGTATAGGTATACAACAGTTTTATTCGGGAAAACAAAACGTAAACAACAAATACTACAGGGAAACAAATCTTTACTTGCCTCCTCCTCCCACATAAGTACAAGGGACAGCTTCATTCTCTTCACCAGTAAGGATTGGAAGATATTCCCTAGCATTTTTCTGGAAGCTCCGTCATGGCAACTGGATTTCTTTCTTATTAGATTGAAATGTTTTGTTAGTCATCCAAGTAACTTTTTCAGTCTGAAGGGAGTTGGTAGGAGACCCCTGATATATCCTCCACGATTTCACTTTCCCCTGATCTGAATAGGTTTGTTAGATGGACAAAGAACGAGGGGGAGTGAGTGAAAATCTTACATCTCTCCCATCCTTCGTACATCTAACAAGTGAAGTGAAACCAATGTGGAGGATATCAGGGGTCTCCTACCAACTCTTCTCAGACTGAAGAAGTTAGTTGGATGAGTAGTGAAACTGAAGAAGTTACTTGGATGAGTAGTGAAACTTTTCAGCCTATTAAGAAAGAAGTTCAGTTGCCATTACTCAACTTCCAGATAACCACACCTGGATGATTGAGAATCTTCACAGATATATTCCCTAGCACAGTTAAAGACAACAAGAATGCCTCTTGTGCATACTGCACAGGACTGCACAAAAATACAAAGGTTGCTCCTTTGTTTCATGAACTTCTAAGCATTAGAAGCATTTCATGGAATGGGTTTATGCTTTCCATGCTTTAGTTTTTCTTCTTGAAAGGAAAGGACATCAGTTTTTTGTGTAAGCGTTCTGCACAAATCGCAGAGACCTTGATGGTGGAAAAAGCTCCTTGTCTCACTCTCACACTGCAGGTAAGAAATCTCAAAGGCAGGAAAATCTGATAGTGCTTTGTTGGACCAACCGATATTTCTGAGAATAAGGAGTTTAGTGAGGATTCTTCACATCTAGAAAACCCCTAGATCAGTGGTTCTTAACCTTGGGTTACTCAGGTGTTTTTGGACTGCAACTCCCAGAAGCCTTCACCACTAGCTGTGCTGGTTGGGGTTTCTGGAGTTGCAGTTCAAAAACACCTGAGTAACCCAAGGTTAAGAACCACTGCCACAGTTCTATAAGACAATTTAATTAAAGCACTGGCTACAAAACCAGGTTCTCTGTCTGAGCAACTCATACAACAGGACAAGAGTTCAAAAACCTATATCTAATTTTGCCACACATAGTTCACAGAGTGGACTCAACCTTGGCAGAGCTCTGGCTCCTCAGATTTTACTCTGACCTTCTTTGAACCTGAGTGTTAGCCTGGCACTAACCACACCCTTTTTTTGAATTCTGAAATGACAACCATCTTCACTTGGTGTCTTAACACTTGAGCAGTTTGCTTCTGAGAACACGGAGCATGTGTTACATATGCCACTCCTGTAGCTTTAAGTACTGTACTCAACTATTTTGAGTATCATGTTATGACTCTCCATTCCACTTATTTCCATCAATCCTGGAAATGAGGAACAAGGGAAATGATTTGTTGCATAATATGCCTCAAACCATTTACAGATCCACATTTACAGAGGATCTGTAAATGTTCACAAGAAGAGAAAATAATTGCCACAAGCAGGCTATTTTTTGCATCATTCCAACTACTGTACTGTAATGTATGCTCCAACCCCCCTCCCTCTGTGTGTGTAACTAAAAGGAAATCCTCCTAAACAGGCCTTCTTATGGTCAAGGCAATCTGACAAAATTCTGCCCAGGCAAGGGCTGTTTGAACCCCATTATATAATGTGATACAAAAATATTACAATAAATGTAAAATTATACAGTGGATCCAGTCACTATATTCTTACAGTTGATTAGAGCAGTGTTTTTTAACCTCCCAGGGGGGCGATTTCATTTTTCAGGGGGGCGATGGAATGAAAAGGGACAACACAGGGGGTGAAGGAACAGAAGGGGGCAATATGGGGGCGAAGGAGCGAGCCAAATCTGAGAAGGCAGCTGCAGCTGCGGTGCTGGCAGCAGATCCGCCAGGCAGATCCAGAGCAGCTGGTGCTGGCAGAGGATCCGGTGCCGCCGCCACGCCACCGCTGCCGTAAGGAGGGGGGCGATGGTAACTTCCCCAATGGCTCAAGGGGACATTTCTTTCAAAAAGGTTAAGAACCACTGGATTAGAGGTTTCAGTGATATCTCCCTTCACAGAAACTTAGCATGGATACTGTGCCCCCACCCTTTTGGCCATCACTAGGGTGTGTTTCTCAATTCTGCCATCTTGAACCATTTACTTGTAAACAATTTAGATTCACAGCTATTAGGTGAACAATTTGTTTTTCTAAATTTTTCCCCTCTTGGGTAGGTCCAACATTTGGTAGGACATTTGTGATCCTTGATTTTGTTGCCCTAGGGAAAACACTGAAAGGTACACCAACACCATATGGGAAATAAATTTGCCAGTTAACAATTTTTAGTATTTGGGACCTGTCTCTTTAAGAAACAGCAGTAAAAGGCAACAAATGTAGCACATCACTAGGGACATACCTTGTTTCCCCGAAAATAAGACAGGGTTTTATATTAATTTTTGCTTCAAAATGCATTAGGGCTTATTTTCAGGGGATGTTTTATTTTTTTATGTACAACAATCTACATTTATTCAAAGACACTCATGTCATCATCTGGTTGCTGCCCAATGGTGGAGGGTGGGGTTTCACTATTTTTGGGGTAGGGCTCATATTGCAAGCATCCTGAAAAATCATACTAGAGCTTATTTTCAGGTTAGGTCTTATTTTCAGGAAACAGGGTAGAATAACTAAAATGAAAATCAAGGGATCCAGTCACTATATTCTTACAGTTGATTAGAGCAGTGGTTTTTAACCTGAGCGATATCGCCCTCCCAGGGGGGTGATTTCATTTTTCAGGGGGCGATGGAACAAAACCTTTGTCTGAGGGGTCCGTGTGGCCCAGTGATGACCTTCTTTCTTTCCTCCTTTCCCCATTGTTCCTTCCATCCCTCCCTCCATTCCTGCTATATTCTTACAGTTGATTAGAGCAGTGGTTTTTAACCTGAGCGATATCGCCCTCCCAGGGGGGTGATTTCATTTTTCAGGGGGCGATGGAACAAAACCTTTGTCTGAGGGGTCCGTGTGGCCCAGTGATGACCTTCTTTCTTTCCTCCTTTCCCCATTGTTCCTTCCATCCCTCCCTCCATTCCTGTCTACCTGTGTCACTCGTGCGAGCCAGGAGGTGAGGCTGAGGAGCCTAACGCCGAGGGAGGCCCGGAAGGAAAAGACAAGAAACCGGGCCTTCTCGGTGGTGGCTCCTCATCTCTGGAACAACCTACCTCCTGAGATTCGTGCGGCTCCCTCGCTGGGTATTTTTAAGAATCAATTAAAAACATGGATGTTTCGGCAGGCTTTCCCGTCAGATAATTCCTGACACCCTTTTTACCCCTCTCTCTTATTGTATACTTTGTGTAATGTTTTATTATCTAACAATTCTCTTCTGGAACGGATTATGGTCATAAATCAAGGCACCACTAGAATTCAAGAATGTGGTCTGAAACATATCCCATCTTGGTTAGAATGCAATGATTTAAATGACGTTGCAAGAGCATACAGTTTATAATAAATGTGTGCACATTTGTGCAATGATGTAGAAAGTATTAGCTATGACTTTTAAATGTTATTTTAAATGTGTTGTTCATGCAAAGGATTATGGTCATAAATCAAGGCACCACTAGAATTCAAGAATGTGGTCTGAAACATATCCCATCTTGGTTAGAATGCAATGATTTAAATGACGTTGCAAGAGCATACAGTTTATAATAAATGTGTGCACATTTGTGCAATGATGTAGAAAGTATTAGCTATGACTTTTAAATGTTATTTTAAATGTGTTGTTCATGCAAACCAGTGACTTCCGAATAAGGAAAATGTTATGACTGATGTTTGCACTCTCTGTTTTAATCACAGAATGTGATATGTTACCTATGGTCTATGTGCTTTACAACTTAGCTTTACATTGGCTTTTCCATATAAAGCAAACCAAAATGTGATACTTTAATACTACTCCATCGTGCTTGGTTTGGTTTAAAAGGTGCTTGGTCTAAAAAGTGTTTGGTTTAAAAAGTGTTTGTTTTAAAAGGTATTTTCTTTAAAAGATGTTTTAGACTCCAAACTCTTTCCCCCCATTGTCTTCTCTCTCTATCTTCTCTCTTTTTGTGCTTAACAGCACAAACCTTTGTCTGAGGGGTCCGTGTGGCCCAGTGATGACCTTCTTTCTTTCCTCCTTTCCCCATTGTTCCTTCCATCCCTCCCTCCATTCCTGTCCTTTTTTTAAACCTATGTCATCTTAGGTTAAAATAAGAAAAATTCTTCCCCTAGTGGTAGAGGACGGATTAACCAGTTTTGCATTTGTTCCTATGGAAACGAATGCTTCGACTTGCAATCGGCGCCTCTACATACAACCAAAAAACAGCCGGAATGGATTAATCGGGTTTCAATGCATTTCAATGGGAAATGCTGATTCGACTTACAACCATTTTGACTTATGACCATCTTCTGGAACGGATTATGGTCATAAATCAAGGCACCACTAGAATTCAAGAATGTGGTCTGAAACATATCCCATCTTGGTTAGAATGCAATGATTTAAATGACGTTGCAAGAGCATACAGTTTATAATAAATGTGTGCACATTTGTGCAATGATGTAGAAAGTATTAGCTATGACTTTTAAATGTTATTTTAAATGTGTTGTTCATGCAAACCAGTGACTTCCGAATAAGGAAAATGTTATGACTGATGTTTGCACTCTCTGTTTTAATCACAGAATGTGATATGTTACCTATGGTCTATGTGCTTTACAACTTAGCTTTACATTGGCTTTTCCATATAAAGCAAACCAAAATGTGATACTTTAATACTACTCCATCGCATTTAAAGCACTCTCTGGGCAGTTTACAATTTAGTTATGAAGGCTATACATTGTCCCACCCCCATGAGCTGGGTACTCAATTTACCAGCCTCAGAAGGATGGAACGCTGAGTCAACCTTGAATCAGCTACTAGAGCCCAGGATCAAATTCAGGCTGTGAGTAGAGACTTGACTGCAGTACTTCAGTTTAACCACAGTGTAACTCTATAGTCATCTAGTTCAATAGTTCTGAATGACTGAAGATTTAAGATTTACTGGCCAGGATCCTGTTCAATATTTATGTGTATACAACACCAACTATGGATGCTGTCATGGCAATCTGACAAGGCGCTGGCTGAGTACCTGGTCATGCACAACGATTACCTTGCCAGGCATGAAAACACTAAACAGGCCACTATTTCAACTTATAATTTGACTGGTAATATTGGTCAAACTAAGCGTATCCTGCAATAGCAGCTAAGTAACCAAATTCTTTTTCAAGGTGCTTGAATGTGCAAGTATGATCAAGCATTTAAGTTCAGAATGCACTTTCTCATATTTACTGGCCATACCTCCTTTGCTTCCTCTGAAAAGGCTTGTAGAATATCTGTCTGCCGAGTATAATTCCCATTGGCATCCTGTAGACCCTGCAGAATTCTTTCTTTCAGAACCAAGACAGAAACTCGAAGCTGGTGCCAAAGAAGTTGAACTGTATGGATGTCAACAATCACATTGACTGAGTAAGACAGAAGCTTTAGGGAAAATTCAGTTTCCAGAAGAGCATGGATTTGTTCAACATGATCAGAGATATCTTCACATATATCCTACAGAGAAAGGGAGAAAGGAGTATATTAGTTGACAGGTTTTTACAAGTCTAGGTGGGTGCCAAAGAGTTCATAACAACAACTCAAAATTGGCTCTCTCTCAGTCCACATGTTTCTAAAGTCCAGTGCACTCTCTCTTACTGACTTACTTGTCATAGATTATCCATTGATAACTTTGTGACCTAATAGTAGTAATTCTGGACATTCAGTGTTTCTCCTAATCCTCTGCCCTCCAGTTTCTAGTAAATGATGAACAAAATAATAGAGTATCTATAAACATACAAATGTGCTTCTCAGAAGACTTGAACTTTTTTTTTCCTGTCATGATGAGTCTCATTCTTTCACATTGCGATTCTTGGGACAGAAGGCAGCAAAACATGAGAACTGCTGCCTTATAGCTTATAATGTAGTTCACTTGCTTAAGCAATTCAATGACGTTTTGCCCTCGATCTTCTACTATGTACCTGAACAATGCAGCATAATCTGGTGCCTTTTGGATGTGCTAGTCATTCTGGTTGGGCTGATAGACTTTGTAGTGTGGCACATACAGAAGACACCGTACTTTGATCCTTTTGAACTCTGATCCTATAATATTGTTGACGTAGGCTCTGATGGATAGAATTAACTGTCATTATCTATCAATATGCCATTTCTTTCCAATCATGTATGCCCCAAACAGCCCACAGGAACATAGCAACATTTGAATAAAATAAATAACTATAAGCAAGGTGATCATATAGAGTAAATTATAGTGACATCATTTCTAAACAATTTATTAACAATTCATCCCAGCACCTCAACATAAAAGCAACATTTCAGTCGGCGAGCCCAACAAATATCAGGTTTAGTATTACACCAAATGAAGCAATCCACTAACCATTTGCATCAGTAGCTCCCCCCAAAGCACCAATGAATGGCAAACCCCCAACAGCAGCCTCCACACAAAACAGATTAAACTATGCTAATCCCTCCAACTCAGAGACAAAACACTGAATCTCATATAAAATAACCCTGTTCCATGCAGACAAAATACGTAGTGTTCACCAAGGTCTCACTCTAGATTTAATTCGACTTTCCAAAGGATCTGCTTATAATGCAATGTGTAGCCTACATATTAACTTGTAACCACCCAGAGAGTGCTTTAAATGCTATGAAGCGGTATATAAGGAGCACAGCCTTTTCTTTTTTTTGTTTTGTTTTTTCTTTTGCTTTTATATTCACAAGGCATACCAAACAAAAATCTGATTTCAAAGCAAAGCAAAAAGCGTGCTGCTTACATACCGCCCCATAGTGCTTCAAGCACTCTCTGGGCAGTTTACAAGTTAATTATGCAGGCTACACATTGCCCCCCCCCCAGCGAGCTGGGTACTCATTTTACCGACCTCGGAAGGATAGAAGGCTGAGTCAATCTTGAGCCGGCTACCGGGACAGAACTCCAGGTTGTGAGCACAGTTTTGGCTGCAGTACAGCAGTTTAACCACTGCGCCACGAGGTGGTAATATTTCTATGTATGTCTCTTGTATAATGTGTCCAGCCACTTAATTAAAGTCCAAAGCTGGATGTTGGATAGACCTGGGTAAACATTTTAATTAATTGCAACAAAATTACATACATATATTGCTTGTCAAAGTATTTATCTCTTTTGCCAGCTCTTAATGACAACCACTAACACATAAGTGTGTAAAATATAGCACACTGGTGAAAGGTTTGGGCCCATTTCTCTCCTATATACATTTTTTTTTCTCATGAAAAAGGATGTTCAATTTAAACTGGCTGGATAGCTCAGTGGTTTAGTATCTTGGAGCCAGAGGTTGGGAATGTGATTCCCCACTGTGCCTACCACATATAGAGTCAGCTTGTGTGGCATTGGGCAAGCTGCACAAGTCCCGGAGCATCTGCAGAAGAAGAGAATGATAAACCATTCCTGAGTGTTCTCTACCTGGAAAACCATGGGAAACGGTCACCAAAAATCAAATTGACTTGATAGCACGTGATGATTTAAACTAAGTGTCAAACTACATGTTATTGTTAATTATCTAAGGTACACCTTTCCTAATTTTATTTATGGCAATATAAATAAGTCTAGATTTTGTTCTGCTTTCAGACACTTTTAATTCAGAATCCACTTTCCTTATTTGACCCTTTTTTAAAAAAGGAAAACATCTCCATTGGCACTTGTATTCTCAAGTGTTTGGTAGTCAACTGGATATTACTGTTAAAAGCCATAATTAGAAAAAAAATGTTTTGTGAATAATTCCACCAGATACACTTGCAGAAATCTCACTACATCATTCATACAGTAAAAGTCAACTGGTATTACATACTAACATCACAGCGCGGGTTCCCATTCAATGACTGCTTTGAAGGTACGTCAGACATCTCTAAAGTATGACCTGCAACCAAGTTTGCGTTCTCAGTCATGAAAAGAAGGAAGTGGGTAGCAAGACTTGCCTGACATATTCTGCTTTCAAGAACAGAGCACGTTGGGTTACAGAAGAATAGACTACTTAAATACAAAGAAAACCATAGACATTCCCAAATTATTGAAACAATGACGCAGCTGTTTCTCACTCATTACTCGAACAGAGCTAGAGGGACAATCTCATGAAATTTAAATAGTCTATGTATGACATCATAGGAATTCTATTTCAAATAAGACATTAATATAAAATTATTGTCACAATTAAAATGTTAAAAATCAATTAATTAACATTTTAATTGTGACAATAATTTTATATTAATGTCTGTACAATTTTTAAATAAAAAAAGAAAGCTGTTGATATTTTGATCTGAAAATGTATGAAATAAAATGTTGCATAGTTGAAACTAAAATGGCTGATTTAATCTGGGCCATGTAGTAAATCGTTGTATAGTTGAAAGTAAAATGGCTGATTTAACCTGGGTCATGTAGTAAATCATTTCAGGTATATACCAGGGTTGTAGACTTGATGTTGTATAGCTGGACAAGGTGATGTAATGTATTTACGGATTGGTTCCTAGATGTATAAAGGACATGTATAAATTGGACATGGCATCTGCTGTAAGTACAAGCTGCATTTCGAAGGGGCAGAGGAACTAGAGAACAAATTGCTAACATGCGCTGCATTATGGAGAAAGCCAGTATAGTATAAAGCCAGTAGAGTATAAAAGCCAGTAGAGTATAAAAAAATCTACTTCTGCTTCATTGATTACGCAAAAGCCTTTGACTGTGTGGACCACAGCAAACTACGGCAAGTTCTTAAAGAAATAGGAGTGCCTGACCACCTTATCTATCTCCTGAAAAATCTATATGTGGAACAGGAAGCAACAGTTAGAACTGGATATAGAAGAACTGATTGGTTCAAAATTGGGAAAGGAGTACGACAAGGCTGTATATTGTCCCCCAGCTTATTTAACTTATATGCAGAATACATCATGCGAAAGGCTGGACTGGAGGAATCCCAAACTGGAATTAAGATTGCCGGAAGAAATATCAACAACCTCAGATATGCAGATGACACCACTCTAATGGCAGAAAGTGAGGAGGAATTAAAGAACCTTGTAATGATGGTGAAAGAGGAGAGTGCAAAAAACGGTCTGAAACTCAACATAAAAAAAACTAA